GGCGGGAGACTCGCGCGGCATTGATTCGGGTTGTTGTCATATCTTGGCACGGCGATAAGGAAACGAGGGTCGTTGTCCAGAACATTTCTTCGTTGATGTGGGCTTCAAAGAAGTTTTTGCTGAGGGAGACAGCAACTCGTTAGAAATGAAGAACGTGAACTACTTTGACGTTTTACTGCACGATTCCAAGTTCAGGGATGGGAATGGATTTTGTATCGTGACTAAATTATTGTTTTGAGATCTGAAAAGTGGATTTTACGTTAACTCGCCAGGATGATGCGACTACTCCAGGTATATGGTTATTGTTATTATTTTTTACCTTCTGAATATGATGATGTTAGTGTGGACATTTAATGTGACATTTCATTGTTGTGTTGGATCACTGTATATTGTGAGAATCACAGAGCAGGTTATACATCAGGGCCCCATTCCACAAATGATCTTAGCACTAAGACAATGGAAGATGTTTTGTGGAACGGTGCCCTGGTGCTTGAGAATATCTGTGCTTATGTCACTGACCAATGCATAGTTTTGCCATCCAGTTGACATGAATTATTTCAGGGATGAACCAAGGAACCTTGACATAGATTTACAACAGTCTTAGCGCTAAGATGCTTTGTGGAATGTTTATACTGACAAGTTGTGGTTACTTCTATATATGTGATGATAATCCCACATTGTGTTTAGGCCACGCATTTTTTATGTTTCGTTTCACGCCCCCACCCCCCCACTGAAAAGCAGCTGGGAAATAAATAAATTAAACATAAAAACATTATTTTTTAACTCCGGTGGTAACATAGACCCTCAATATAAAATGTTGTACATAAATTCCATGTCTACATCACTATCAGTGATTCAAGTGGCCAGCTGCTGGTTTCACTCCTCAGCAGACCGATTACATGTAAATAAGGTAAATAAATGATTGACGTTGCTATTTATTTTTATTTCGACTGACTATGTGAGTAAAAGCTGGAATTAATCTGTGAAACACTAAATTTATAAAGTATGGCCTAATTGATAAATGTGATATTTGTTTCAATGAATTGTTTGATGTTTGAGCATGTATGGGTTACTTCCCTTCTGTAGGGGCGGTCGGATAGCCTTGTGGTTAAGGCGTTCGCTCGTCACGCCAAAGCCCCAGGTTTGATTCCCGAAATGGGTACAATGTGTGAAGCCCATTTCTGGTGTCCCCCGCCGTGATATTGCTGAAATGTTGCTAAAAGCTGAGTAAAACCAAACTCACTCACTCCCTTCTGTAATCAACATTGCACAATGATTTGTCTGTGAGTGAGTGAGTTGAGTGTAACGCCGCTTTGAACAGTATTCCAGTTACATCACAGCGTACCACCCTCAATCACGGGTATGGTACTGACAAACCTATAAACATAATGGGGGCAACTGTGATGGGGTATCATTGGTTCCTGGTGTACCCAAGGGACAATACTCTGCAAAGCAAATGACAGCTCCTTACATGACAGGGCCACCCATGCCCCCAGAATTCCACTGTCCTCTTCTTATAAGGGGTCTTGCATTCTTGATGTGATATTTCTTCATCACTACTAATGCTACTACAATATATCAGCACGTATTTTCATACTTACTTTTAGAACAGTGATAATAGTTTTTTTACATCGAATCTTGTAACCCCTCAGCAGTTCTGCGTCAGACTATGTTCCCAGTGCCATAAGCTTCTGGGGTCATATTACATGGTGAGGTCATATTGCATGGAGAGGGTCATATTACAGGGTAAAGGTCATATTACAGGAACAGGGTCATATTACATGGAGAAGGTCATATTACATTGGGAGGTCATATTGCATGGTGAGGGTCATATTACATGGAGAGGGCCGTATTAGATGAAGAGGGTCATATTGCATGGTGAGGGTCATATTACATGGAGAGGTCATATTACATGGAGAGGTCATATTACATGGAGAGGTCATATTACAGGGAGAGGTCATATTACATGGAGAGGTCATATTACAGGGAGAGGGTCATATGGCATGGTGAGGGTCATATTACATGGAGAGGTCATATTACAGGGAGAGGGTCATATTGCATGGTGAGGGTCATAAACCATGGAGAGGGTCATGGTCATGCTGCTGTTACTTATAAGTGACCTTCACCTATGGCACCCTTGTGGGAATCAAACCCCGCCTTTGTCGTGAGTGAGAACGCTTTTACCAGTCGGCTGTGCCACCATCCTTGGGTCATATTACAAAATACACCATTATATGCTGATGGTCATGAAAATAAATGGTCATGTTACGTTATGATATTGAAAATGGAAATATAATATATAACTATAAGACAAAAAAACAACTGAGGAAGGGTTAAGAACATTTAACAACTGGGAGGTTTTCCTTTTTTAGTTAAACAAAACAAACAAACCATACTCCACCAAAGCATCGTTGCCTACCCACCCTCCTCATCCCACATCCTATTGCCCTCAGTGTAATCTGAAGCGTGAATGCATAACTAAATACTATTGATCACAGACAGGTAACGGACAGATGTCTACATGCATTCGCCAATCCCTTTCTGCTGATGGCTTCAGAAAATCCTCCCGCTTGCTCACATTGATTCTTCGACAGTATGCTGTGAATATTATTTTTTCATCTCTAATGTTGCCTTGTCCAAGTCCATCATGGATGAAATGCCATTTGCGATTGATTTCTTCTCCGATATCGACATTATTTCTGAAAGGAAACTCACCTGTTAAAAGAGGCCTACAAGTGTGATTGATCATGATTTCATGCACAAAATATTCCGATTTTGTTTGATGAATGTGTCAGCTTCAGCAATTTGGAAAGCTGAAAATGATTATTTACATTTTCAGAAAGGAATCACTTTAGTAAATTACCCCATTTAAAATATTTAGTGGGGGGGCCAGACATAAAACTCCTTCTTGAATTGATGTTAATTCATCTGATGTGAATATTGTGATCTTAATTCTGTTGCACAGTGAAAGTAATATGAAAATTGTTTTGTACTTAAAGAGGGAAGTTTTAAAAGTTCAACCTATGTTACCAGGGAAACTGAAAAACATTGGAGTAGATTCTGGAAATTCCTGGTCAGAAATGCTCCCTTGTGTTAGTCATAAGATGCGGCTTAACGTACCAGTGGTCGGATTTGGTTGTTTGGTGTCGTCATTCCCGGGAGTGTTGGTTGTTGTAGTATCTTGGTCTTCAGCAGCCTATGATTGTCTATAATTCAGTTAAAAAAAGATTTGATCCAAACTCACACACTCTTCAAAATAGTGGACTTTCTTGGGTAATCTTGCTATCAAGACCCTATGAAGATCTTGGTAGGTCTTCAGGAACCCATGCTTGCAGTAAAAGGTGACTATGCTTGTTGTAAGAGGCGATTAACTGCTGACTTGGTTGATGCATGTCATTGATCCCAATTGCTTGGATCGATGCTCATGATATCAATCACTTGATTGTCTGGTCCAGACTCGATTATTTACAGACCACCACCATATAGCTGGAATATTGCTGAGTGAGGCATTAAACAACAAGCAAAAAGAACAACCCACTTATAAGTTGTCTTAAGGGGAATAGTACAAGACAGACTAAGAAAGAATTTGAAGGTCAAAGGTTATGTTAAAGGTCATGGGGATTAATATATAAATTTCACAGACACATAATACTACATAATCTCCAGCACTGTAAAGATCTGTCTTTTTCTGGACAAATCTTATGAGTTAGGTATTTATAGAGACAGAAATCATCTCTCATATTTTTATTATTGGACATATCAATCTTGTCCTGTTAACTGGTATTTTATTCTCATTATGTTCATGCTTCCTATATCACAAAAAGTGATGAATTGTCAGTACCCTGACGCAGAAGTATGTTTATTGATAACTAAAAACTAATAACGATAATTATTTGGATACGGACATTGTGGCCTTCAGACAGGCCTTCAGACATTTGTTGTTTGGTATGTAATGAGATATTAAAGAAAGTCATTCTCAAAAGTTCATCTTTTTCAACTGCTATTGAGATAGAACATCTCCAAATGGGGAAGGAAAATAACCAGATATTTCACAATATCCTGTGTAAAGAGCTCAAAAGATTGCTGGACAGAATTCAAATTTGACATTTTGTATTGGTTTGAAGCTTCGGTGAAAAAGAAGATGAAAAGCAGCAGTGTCCATGTTCATCAAAGACCAATACACTTTTTGTCTTCAAAGATAGTCTTCAGCAACCCATGCTTGTTGTTAAAGGCTGCTGTGCTTGTCGTAAGAGGCGACTAATGGGATCGGTTGGTCAGGCTCGCTGACTTGGTTGATGCATGTCATTGTATCCCAATTGCTTAGATGCCCATGAAGATCCGGGGTAGAATAGGTCTTCAGCAACCCATGCTTGCCGTAAAAGGCGACTATGCTTGTCGTAAAAGGCGACTAACGGGATCAGGAGGTCAGGCTCGCTGACATGGTTGATACATCTTATCGATCCCAATTGCGTGGATCGATACTCATGTTGTCAATCACTGGATTGTCTGGTACAGACTCGATTACTAACAGACCGCCGTCATAAAGATGGAATATTGCTGAGTGTGGCGTTAAACAACAAGAAAACAAACAAACAGATTGATGCTAATGATGTCAATCACTAGATTGTCTGGTCCAGACTCTGCTATTTACAGACCTCCATCATTTAGCTGGAATCTTGTTGAGTGTGGCTTTAAACAACAAACAAATCATATCAAACTTTGTTGTGACCTTGAAGCTTATGTTACAGCTATGATCATTGGTAGGTGCTTTGTTTGTATGGTCCTCCTAGGGGCGGTCGGGTAGCCTTGTGGTTAAAGCTTTCGCTCATCACGCCGAAGACCCGGGTTCGATTCCCGACATGGGTACAATGTGTGAAGCCCATTTCTGGTGTCCCCCGCCATGAGATTGCTGGAATATTGCTAAAAGCGGCGTAAAACCATACTCACTAACTCACTCACTCATTGTATGGTCCTCATGAGTGTCCTCGTTGATATTGCAGGTGGTGCAACAAGGTGACCCCGAGAGATCTCGCCATGTGAAGGACCTCGAGGTCAGTAATCAGGAACTTCAGCAGGAGGTCCATGAGCTAGAGAAGTCAGTCCAGAGAACCAAGCATTTGGTAAGTGTCACATTGTGTGATTGCATATATAGATAACCATTAAAAATATACATTTCAGAGAGGCAAATATTTGCATAAAGTTCAAACAACAAGATGTCATTTGCACACATGTGCAACCTCTAGGGTCAACTATCACAAGACCTGTGATGATCCAGGTTAGAATAGGCCTTCAGCAACCCATAATGAAAGGCGACAATGCTTGTCGTAAGAGGTGACTAATGGGATCGGGTGGTCAGGCTTGGTTGATGCATGCCATCATATCCCAATCAGTGCTCATGATATCAATCACTGGATTGTCTGGTCCAGACTCTAATTATTTACAAACCCCCTGGAATATTGCTGAGTGTGGTGTTAAACAACAAACAAACACCTATCACAAGAGGGTGTGGGGCTGTCAATTTTCATAATGAGCTTTAAATTGAGATGACACCGTAACTCCCCTTTATTATACCAGACTCATCGGTTCTTGCATGATTTGTCTCATGTAGGATTTGGGGCGGTCAGGTAGCCTAGTGCACATGGTTAAAGCACTCACTCACTCACTCACTCACTCACTCACTCACTCACCCACCCACCCACCCACTCACCCACCCACTCACTCACTCACTCACTCACTCACTCACGTAGGATTCATACATGTTCTTTTACTTTTGATGATGCTAGACTTCACATGATGCCGAACTTTATTTGGACATTTACTTCACCATGGACTTTTTCTCAATCTTTAAACTTTAGCATGCCACATCTTATATACACTCTACAAAGACAAATGTCTCTCCAGAACAGGGCGGTCGCCTAGTGGTTAAAGCGTTCACTCGTCACACCGAAGACCCGGGTTCTATTCCCGACATGGGTTCAATGTGTGAAGCCCATTTGTGGTGTTCCCCGCCGTGATATTGCTGGAATAGTGCTAAAAGAGGCGTAAAACCATACTCACTCACTCTCCAGAACAATGATTCATTCATACACAGATAAAATGCCAAACTCAATATAATGCCATGACAAATTTTGGCACTTTTAACAGGGGGAGGTGGGTCAGAGGTTTTTGACCCTCCCACAATGCTTGTCATACTTTTTTTACCCTCCCCGTGTCGATATATATTTCTTCTTGATCCCTCCCTCAATAGACAAAGTACACATCACCATATATATTTTATTATAAAATGTCCATAAGGATATGACCCTCCCCAAATATATGTTTCATTATCCCTGACCTCAAAGTGGTAGGGGATGTAGGAATGGATGCTGTCTGTCCTTTCTGTCCGTCCATCCGTCATGTTTCGTTTCCAGAGTAGAACTCAAAAACCATGAGAGATATCTTATTCAAACTTGGCACAAGGATAGGTCTAGTGGTGAACTGGTGCCTTTCCATAGTTTGGGATTTTTGCAAAAATTATTTTTCCAGTTTCCATAGCAACGACTTTGACTGGAAATGGTGGTAGTGCTTGTGTCTGGGGCAGATCTTTGATAACCGTACAATATTTCTTGCCTTGCACACAACCCGACATGTCATATTGGCAGGGGATATGGGGACCTTAGGGACTGACAAATTGTTTGGGTGACCCTCTCCTGTTGATTGCTGATTCCCTCTGACACCCCCCACACCGCCTCTTCCCCTTATAGAGGGCACAGGTGGCCCAGTTGAAGGTGCCGCAATTCCCTGTGCAGAGTTGCGTCCCTTGGGCACACCAGAAACCTATGATTGTGGTTTCGAATCCCGGTTTGCCCCGATTGTGTTTCTACGTTAGTCAGCACCATATCCGTGCTCGTGGGTTTCACCGAAGCGGTAAACGTCTGAGACCTGCATCACTTCGGGCTTACCTCCCACATAAAGCTGACACACCCCGTGATATAACTGTAATACTGTCCAAAGCAGCGTTAAACCCAACTCACTCACTCTTCCCCTTATAATAAGTGAACTGTCCTTAAAGAGGTTGGAGATTTTGCAACAGGAAGAAGTTAATTATAAAACATATATGGAACATACATAAGACTTGGACTTTGGAAACAAAAAACGATTCCTCAGGGACTTTGTTGTGTCTTTGACACAGAGACCAATTTCTCAGGGACTTTGTTGTGTCTTTGACACAGAGACCGATTCCTCAGGGACTTTGTTGTGTCTTAAGGAACTGCATCCATTAGGCTTAATCACCACAGCCTTAGCAAACCCATGAATGAATACCGGTGGAAACTCTCTCGCCATCAGGGTCAATACAAAGGCAGTTTGTTACACGTTATTGACTAGCAGCGACGGTTATTACATAATTAAGATATTATGCTTGACGACGTAAATTAGCTTTACGGTCACTGAGCAACAACAATGGATGCGATCAGCAGGGTTATCATTGCCTTGTTTATGGTTTATTTGGTAAAGCAACGGCCATGTTTGTCTTATGCCATACTGTATTAAATCTGGTTTAGCACAGAATGATTGCAAGTCAGTATGACGACAATTTGAGCATGTACTATTTGTCTGATGACATCTTTTCAACATGATGGTATTATCATGATGTAATATTTATACTAAGTTTTCCTATAATAATTAGATCCACATCAAGTGCTTTTATGAGTTATCATGGTGTAATATTTATACATCATTTCATATAATTATAGTTTAGCAAGTAATGCTTATCATCAGGTAAAATCCATATATAAAATATCAGTAGTTTCAGTTATAGCTTTTTAGATAGATGCTAGCCTAAGGTAACGAGAACACATCTCTTAGACACACTATTCAATAAGACAAAAGTTATGTCTACATAGTTTAATAGATTTAAAGCTTTTAGATAAATACTAGCCTAAGGTATCAAGATCCCATCTCCCAGACATAATATCCAATAAAACAAAAGATATGTCTACATTGTCTTATAGATTGCCTTGAACTAGTTTTGTTTAAGTAAATCTGTCATCACCTATATTAGAATAACATTCAGCAATTACTTCAATTTAGACTCATTAAGCATTAGGATTAGCCCCCATACATTTATTGTTTGTGTGAAGACATGTTACAAGTTTGATGGTACTTTGAGCATGTACTATTCGTCTGATAACATCTTATCAATATGAAGGTATTTCGAGCATGTACTATTTGTGTGAAGACATGTTACAAGTTTGATGGTACTTTGAGCATGTACTATTCGTCTGATGACATCTTATCAATATGAAGGTATTTCGAGCATGTACTATTTGTGTGAAGACATGTTACAAGTTTGATGGTACTTTGAGCATGTACTATTCGTCTGATGACATCTTATCAATATGAAGGTATTTCCAGCATGTACTATTTGTGTGAAGACATGTTACAAGTTTGATGGTACTTTGAGCATGTACTAATTGTCTGATGACATCTTATCAAAATGAAGGTAGTTCCAGCATGTACTATTTGTGTGAAGACATGTTATAAGTATGATGGTACTTTGAGCATGTACTAATTGTCTGATGACATCTTATCAAAATGAAGGTATTTCCAGCATGTACTATTTGTGTGAAGACATGTTATAAGTATGATGGTACTTTGAGCATGTACTAATTGTCTGATGACATCTTATCAAAATGAAGGTATTTCCAGCATGTACTATTTGTGTGAAGACATGTTATAAGTATGATGGTACTTTGAGCATGTACTAATTGTCTGATGACATCTTATCAAAATGAAGGTATTTCCAGCATGTACTATTTGTGTGAAGACATGTTATAAGTATGATGGTACTTTGAGCATGTACTAATTGTCTGATGACATCTTATCAAAATGAAGGTATTTCCAGCATGTACTATTTGTGTGAAGACATGTTATAAGTATGATGGTACTTTGAGCATGTACTAATTGTCTGATGACATCTTATCAAAATGAAGGTATTTCCAGCATGTACTATTTGTGTGAAGACATGTTATAAGTATGATGGTACTTTGAGCATGTACTAATTGTCTGATGACATCTTATCAAAATGAAGGTATTTCCAGCATGTACTATTTGTGTGAAGACATGTTATAAGTATGATGGTACTTTGAGCATGTACTAATTGTCTGATGACATCTTATCAAAATGAAGGTATTTCCAGCATGTACTATTTGTGTGAAGACATGTTATAAGTATGATGGTACTTTGAGCATGTACTAATTGTCTGATGACATCTTATCAAAATGAAGGTATTTCCAGCATGTACTATTTGTGTGAAGACATGTTATAAGTATGATGGTTACTTTGAGCATGTACTAATTGTCTGATGACATCTTATCAAAATGAAGGTATTTCGAGCATGTACTATTTGTGTGAAGACATGTTATAAGTATGATGGTACTTTGAGTATGTACTAATTGTCTGATGACATCTTATCAAAATGAAGGTATTTCCAGCATGTACTATTTGTGTGAAGACATGTTATAAGTATGATGGTACTTTGAGCATGTACTAATTGTCTGATGACATCTTATCAAAATGAAGGTATTTCCAGCATGTACTATTTGTGTGAAGACATGTTATAAGTATGATGGTACTTTGAGCATGTACTAATTGTCTGATAACATGACATCAGTGTGAAGGTGTTTCAAGTTGTGCTCTGTATGTGAAGACAGTTATCAGTTTGAAGCTACTTCACGCATGTTTGTGTGATGAAACTACATCGTTTCATGAAGTTTTCCCTGGAATCCACAGCAAGGGCGGGTAACTCTAAATCATAACTAACCTTAAGTCTTTGACATGTACGAACATGAATTATATCAGGCAATTTAAAATATTATTAAATACAATTCATATATATGTATATACGTCACGATATAAATTCTTTGAAATTTAACCAAGCAGCTTAATATTAATGAAAAACATGCTGAAAAGCGAAAATGACTGCGAAAAATATTCCATGACCTGTTAGCACCATTTTCCAAGAGGAGGGTCAATTTCATCAACGAGACAGCCTTGCATCTTCGGTCCATTTCCGAAACTAACAAGGCATGGATAAACTACGTCAATTGCCATGCAATTTCGTACAGTTACGTAAGTGGGG